CTGCTTCTCCCTCTGACCCTCCCCCCTCTCATGTGCTCTCTGTCTCTCTCATTCTCTCTCTCTCAAATAAATAAATAAAATCTTTAAAAAAAAAAAAGTTAATTGCTTCTACAATTCCTTAGGAATAAAATTTCGATCAACTGTAGAAGGCAGTATTTCCTCTTTTTATAAGTTCCTTTTTTATAAAATGCAGTATTCCTCTCTTTGGGCGAGAAATAAGTTAAATGTGAGCTGAAACCAACTAGGGGAGGAGGCTTCCATCTCAAAAGAAAGGTCTGTATGTTTTGAATGTAGAACTGAAGTGTGGTCCCGTTGAACAGTCTAACCTTGGAAAGTTCCGTTTCCCATTTTGCTAAAAGCAAAACTTCCGGCCAACAAGCGCATGATTAAGTGCACCTGCACCTGGCACATAAGCTGAACCCTTAGCATCTGTGACAGGCCGTGTTCTCCACTCAGGTCTGTGCTTCGTGTCTGCACGTTCACGTCTCTGCTGGAACCGCACTGAGGCTCGGACACCTGCAGTGTGTGCGGGATGGGCGCTCCGCCCGCCCGGCTCACGTGAGAGCGCCGCCGCCGCACGCCGGCCCCCGTCTCCGAGGGCGTCGGACGGCCAGGGCGCCCCAGGACGAGGGCGGAGCTGGGGGTGACCCCCGCCCGGCCCCGACGCTGTGTCCCGGGCCTTTCCCAAGGGTGGACGCCCCCCCCGAGTGCGGGCGTCGAAAGCACTGTGCGCGGCCTGCGAGCTGGGGCAGACCCGCCGCCGGGGGTCGGGGGGCCCGAACCGGGCGCGGGGGGAGGGGCGCCGCGGGGGGGAGGGAGGTCGGCGCCGTCGTTACCTGCTGGGCCGCTCGGCGCCCGGCCCAGGCCCCGCCGCGCTGTAGTAGGCCGCGCGTTTGCGGTTGGCCGCGGCCGCCGCGCTGCGCACCGGGTACAGAGGGATCTGGTCCGCCATCTTCCGGCCGCCACCTTCCCGCCCCTCCTCGCTCCGCCTCAATTCGGGCCTTTCCCCGCCCTCTCCGCTCAGCTACCGCCCGGCTGAGGCACCGCCCGCGCGTCCTTGCCCGCCCCCCGCGCGCCCCAGCCCGACGGCGTCGCGGGGCGTCGGAGCCTGATGACGACAGCTTGCGGCGAAGGTAAGGCGCAAGAGGCGGCGGCGTTAAGAGGCTCCGTCCCGCGTCCGGGCCCGATGACGTTGCCGCCGCGGCGCGGGCGCAAGCGGAGGCGGTGACGCTCCGAGG